CACACACACACACACACACATACACACATGTATATATTTAGCAGTTCTAATTAAACATGTGCATTTGTATCATGAAGAAAATGCTCAGTGGCAAAAGCAGTGGCTTCTAGGGCTTCAAAGAAGTCATTCATGCCATTAAAGATGTTGTTGTACCCCCAAACACCACCCCATATCATAGAAAAATATAATTATTTCAGACACACAACATACACAATTTCCAAGAAATCCACATTTCCTTACACTTGGTTGCTCTTTGCATTCACCATCAGCTCCTTTTCTAGGAAATGCAACTTCCTTCTCTGGCCAAGACAGGAAGGTGCATCCTCTATTGCTTTCCCCAAAGACACAAAAAAAACAGGAGAGGGAGAAGGGGAAAAAAAATCCCCCAAAATTAAAATTAAAATTATTATTTTTTTTAAAAAATGCACCCTTTCCTCTAAATAATACCCTACCTCTGTTTTAACTATCCCTTTTTAACCCATTTGCTAGATCCCTGCAAATAATCCTGTTTGCATTGGGTTGCACAGACTTTGTGGGCTGCAGATTTTATTTTATTTTTTCAAACCAAAAAAGAACTCAACATTTTTAATTTTTAAAAACTGGGAATGCAACTGAAGAAGAAGAAGAAGAATCTTGCAGTTTTAAAACGTTGCAAAGGAGTCCAACGCCTGTTGGTAAGTTACAGTTCCCTATTGATTTTCTTAATTTTCTGGATTTTGGAGAAATAAGGGTTGTATTTTAGTGCTGGATCTTGATTTACTTATTTTTATGGACTACAATTCCCACACTCCCTAGCTCCCTCTGTGGGATTATGGGAGCTGAAGTCCTAAATTTAAAAAGAGCCAATGGTTCCCTCCCTCCCTCCCTGTGCCTAATTTTCTGGAAGAAAACAAGTTAAATTAATTTAAGCATAATTTAAAACAAATAAATTTAAAATAAGGTTATCTAACTTTATAAAATAACTCTATTTAAATTCAAATAAATTTAAAATAAATTTAAATTCATTTAAATTTAGCTTAAATTAATTTAAAATAAATTTAATATCATTTACATTTATTTTAAATTCATTTAAAATGAATTTTAAAAATTCATTTAAAATGAATTTCATTTAAAAGAATTTTTAAAATAATTTCAAATGAATTTTTAAATTCATTTAAAATGATTTTTAAAATTCATTTTAAATGAATTTTTAAAAATTCATTTCAAATGAATTTTAAAAATTCATTTTAAATGATTTTTAAAAATCCACTTGAAATGATTTTTAAAAATTTATTTAAAATGATTTTTAAAATTCTTTTAAAAGAATTTCATTTAAAATAACACAAGAAAAAACCCAAACAAACAAACAGACAATACCCCACTTTTCCAAACTTTATTTTTAGTTTTTTTTTAAATTTCAACTCAAAACATTATTTTAAATTAATTTAAAATAAATTTAAAATCATTTACATTTATTTTAAATGAATTTAAATAAATTTAAAATCATTTACATTCATTTTAAATTCATTTAAGTTTAAATAAAGGTATTTTATAAAGTGAAATACAGTGATTTTAAATGTATGTATTTATTTAAATTAATTTTGATTTATTTTAATATTCATTTTATTTCTTTAAGTTAAATTAAATTATGGAATAGTTTAAACAGAAGAAGGATATTTGGAGGAAAGAGTGGGTTATTGTCAAAGGGCAATATTAACAATATCTGATTTTTGTAAATTATAATTTTATACTATTTTATTTTAAAGAAATCATAAATAAATCATAAATAAAATAAATTATATTATTTTAAAAATAAAGTTTTAAAAAGTGTTGGGGTTTTTTTCCTGGTGTTTTTCCCTTCCCATGGTCTCTGTGTGGGGAAAGCAATTTAATTTAATTTCATTCAATTCATTCTTATGCCACCTTTCTCCCAAAAAGGGACCCAAGGCGCCTCACAAAATTTAATTTAAATATTTAATTAATTTGAATTAGGAAGACTGGGAATGTAGGAATAAAGCAGTTTGACACCACTTTAAATGGTCTGTAAAGGCCCTTAAGCACCCTAGGGCTACAACATATATCTACATTTTCTTGAGTGTAGTAGTGGTTTGTGTGTTGGACTATGACTCTAGAGACCAGGGTTCGAATCCCGGCTCAGTCACATAAACCCACTGGGTGACTTTGGGCAAGTCACATTCTCTCAGCTTCAGAGGATGGCAAAAACCCCTCTAAAGAATCTCACGTGGCCATGAAACCCACTGGGTGACCCTGGGCAAGTCACACTCTCTCAGCCTCAGAGGATGGCAATAGCAAATCCCCCTCTGAAGAAACTTTGCCAAGAAAACCCCATGATAGGTTCACCTTGGCTGCCATAACTTGGAAATTACTAGAAGGCAGATAACAACAACAGACAGAGCCCTAATCTGGATTTGGTAGATCAGGGTTCGAATCCCCACTCAGCCAAGTAAACCCACTCAGCCCACTTGGGCAAGTCACACTCTCTCAGCCTCAGAGTATGGCAATGGCAAAGGCCCTCTGAAGAAACTTAGTATGTTGTGTGGCATACTGTTCTTTCAGGGTGCATCTGCACTGTAGAAATAATGAAGTTTGACACCACTTTTAAGTGCTGTGGCACCATCCTATGGAATCCTGGGATTTGTAGTTTGACAAGGTCTTTAGCCTTCTCTGTCAAAGAGTGCTTGGTGCCTCACAAAAACTACAAATCCCAGGAGCTAGGGGCAGTCCAAGTGGTGTCAAAATGCATTATTTCTACAATGTAGATCCACCCAATGTCTCTAAGATAATGCTAGAATTTTTGCTACAAATTATTCTTATTCTTATTCTGACAGAAAGGGCTGGTGCCTCACAAAAACTACAAATCCCAGGATTCTAAATATACACAATCTGGTTTATTTTTATTTTTTTTAAAAAAATCCAGGCTCAGTCTTCCAAAATTGAGCAAACTTGCCACTAATCTTGCATATATATATATTTGCAAGAGTTGTAGGATGCAACGATGCAGATATAAGTGCAAAAATCTTTAATTTTTCTATTATTTTTCTTCTCTGTTGAAGGGAAGCCCTGCCTCTTGACTCCATGAAAGGGGAGGAGGCAGAATGGACTGCACCACTACAACATAGGGGGATATAACTTTATAAAAATCTCATTTGGGGGGAAAAACGATAGACTTTAGAAATAAAAAATAGTAGCCATAATGAGGATCTTTGCAGGGTCCATAATCCTTCTTCTTAGCAGACCTTTCTATTTAAAGGGTAAATCTATATTTTTATATATGAGTGCTCACCCCTCTCCCCAACATGGTATCTCCTGCCCGCCTGCCTGAAATGGAAGATACCATTTTACCGCCTCATTTAGGGAGGGAGGATACCAGGGCTAAACCACTTTTCAACCAGGCCTGCCTTAATATTTTAAACTAGAAGGGGCGTTGTTGATATTTTTACATTATTGTTATTATTGCTGTTATTTTTATTACGTTGAAAAGAGCCTGGAAATCGTGTGAAAGTGGTTTCATAGGTGGGTGGCCCCTTCCTCTCTACAAAATGGCGGCCGAAGGGGGGTGACAGGAAAACGGGGGTTTGTTGCTTGCCTTTGCCTGGGAAGAGGCGGCCGGACTCGGCTCTGAGGGGAAGGAAAGGTGAGAAGGAAACAGGGGCCAGAATAACCCGGATTTCTGTGGGGGGAAGCCGGTCTGTAATATGTGTATTTGTGAATGAAATGGACGACACTGTATAGACTTATGGAAAAGGTTAGACTGAGAGCTCCCTTCGCTTCCATTGCAGTTCCATGGGGAGCCATTTTGTTCTCTTTGCTCCTCTAATAAGTGCCTAAGTCTAGGCTTGGCGGGGAAGGAAAACATAGATCTTTTCCTCCCTCCTCCTCTCTTATTATTCCAATATTTTAAAATTATTATTACCGTACTATATATTTCTACTACTACTACTGTTACTAACAACGCCAAAACATGGAGACTTGTAGAGGAATCCGTTGTTCTCTGCCACAAAGAGGCCTGTGGCCTCACTGGAATGGATACATATTGGAGAAACATACTAAAATAAATGAAAGCACTTGCTCATAGGGAACACATTGGGGAATATTTGCCTATAGAGAAATATGGGGATACTTGCCTATAGAGAAATAATTGGGAATTTCTTGCCCATAGGGAAACATTGCAGAATACATGCCAATAGAGATACATTAAGGAATATTTGCCTATAGAGAAATATTAGGAATTATTTACCTATAGGGAAACATTGGGAATTACTTGCCCATAGGGAAACATTGGGGAATACTTGCCTATAGGGAAATATTGGGAATTACTTGCCCATAGGGAAACATTGGGGAATACTTGCCTATAGGGAAATATTGCAGAATACTTGTCCATAGAGATACATTAAGGCAGGGGTAGGCAACCTTTCCCCTTTAAGGGCCGAGGGACTTCAGCTCCCAGAATCCCAGGAGCTATTGGCCAACATGGGACTATTGGCCAACATGGCTGAGGCTTCTGGGAGCTGAAGTCCCTCGGCCCTTAAAGGGGAAAAGTTGCCTACCCCTGCATTAAGGAATATTTGCCTATAGAGAAATATTGGGAATTATTTACCTATAGGGAAACATTGGGGATGACTTGCCCATGGGGAAACATTG